TGTGTGTGTGTCTGTGTGTGTGTGGGGCTGTGTGAGAGCAAATGCAGCAGCGTTTCCAAGCGGCTACCCAAAATGTTCCTTCCAATTTAATGCCAGGACACTGCTTGTCTGCTGCCGCCGCAGCTTCACTCACTGTCCTTGCAAATGTTTTCCCCCTCTCTGCGCACCCTGGCTCAATCTATGTGGGAGCTGAGGAAGATTCAGAGCAGGTTTTGAATCATTTGAAGTGGGAGAGTGTGGGGAGTGTGGAAAGAAGAAAAGAAAGAGGATGACTTGGTTTTCCAATTCCAAAAAAGGGTTGAGAAGCACACCCGAAATACAGACAATGTGTACCAGACATGGAGAGAGGTAGAGATGCAGACAAGGGAACCGAAAAAGCAACAGATGAAAAGATCAAAAGTAAAGGCAGACCAAGACATGAGAGAAGTGTCAGAAAGTGCAGAGAGAGAATTAAAGTGATCGAGGAGCACAAAAGGTGGCAGTAAATGTAAGACTTTTGGGAGACTGCCAGACAGAAATCACAGGAATGGTGCAGGTGTAAGAGACACGAACATGGAAAGAGTAAATTTAACCTATCGGAGTGAATACACTGCTCCAGCCCACTCGTTCAACTTCAACTTTGTTGTTGCTCTCAGTACATGCTCATTATATACGGACCGCTCCCTTGCTGTATAACTAAGTCACTCTGTGATCACAAGGCTGACATATGGCAGCTTTCTAATTCAATCCACTCCACCCTTACGCAGCCCGTCGGTCTTTGGATCCAGCTCTTCTTAAATTAAAGTTTTGGACTAAAAAAATGGGTTGCTGTCTTTTTCTTTAGTAGATACAAAATCAAAAATGCACAGCTCAACAAGACATTTGGATCTAAGACTGGTGTTGCAATCTTTCTGTTCATATGACAAGTGAAACATCTTTCATTGGGTTGTGGAAAATCTCCTTTCCCCAGTGCAGTTGAAGTTGAGTTTCAAGAATCTAACTTGTCTAATCTAACTTGTTTCTTAAAAACCCCCAAAACATTGAAGGAATAGTTTGACATTTTTGGAAATGTGCTTTCTTGCCAGAAGTTTGATGAGAAGACTCTCGTGTCTTGTTAGGTACAGTCAGCACTGGTTAGCTTAGCTTGGCATAAAGACTGGAAACAGCTTGCCTTCTTCTGTCCAAAGGTAAATCCACGTCTAAAGCTCTGTAATTAATGTAATTAGCCTATATCTTGTTTGTTATGTTGGCTGTTACGGGGAAATCACTGCTCCTGGCTAAGAAACAATCCTGCGCATAACCACCTTCACTTTTTATATGCAATAAACTATTGAGATATAATGTGTGAATTACTAAGATTTAGGTGCTGGTAGATGGATATTGTTACCTTTAGACAGAGCCAGGCAACCTGTCTTCCCATCCCAATCCTTAAGCTAAGCTACAGGCTAAGTTAACTGTCTCCTGGCTGTAGCTTCCCATTTAGTGGACAGGCACAAGAATATCAATCTTCTCATCTCACTCTAAACATATTTCCCAAAATGTCAAACTATTCCTTTACAGAATAACGTTATAAAGCTATAAACAGACTGTTTTCTGCAAGAACAAACTGTAATTCCAAGTCCTGGCCTGGCTAAAGGTTAAAAAAACAGGTTAGAAACTACAATTAACGTCTGCCTTGACTTGAGTGGACTCACTCCCAACCATGCCTGTTCTCTGTCTTGTCAGCTTGCAAGCCACACACACACTGTCGTCCAGCCCCTTTCCAACCCTCTAAAATCATCAGTTATGGTTGGGTTGTTTTCATGTGGTTGGAGAGTTATGCGCACGCTCACAGAGTTAATGTATGTATACATGC